ATCCAGGGGTTCCACACCACAACATCGGTCAGGGCTTCCCGGGTAATCGAGAACAAGGGCTTGTCATCCGAGACCGTGGTAACCTCGATCGGAACCTTCGGGTCAAGGGACTTGTACACCCGATCGGTCTCCTTATCGATCTCAACCGCAGAGGAGGCTTCCGTCTGGACGGCGCCACCTTGGGTCTTGTCGACATACTCCTTGGACTGGAGGTTCTTGACGCGGACCTGCGAGATGTCCTATATGCCCTTATGTCAGTCTCTCCCCTCGCAAGATACTTGCACTAATCAGGGGGTTCGCTGTGTGAGAACGCACCTCAATGCTCAGATAAGTGTGCAGCAGAACCTGGAATTCGAAGTTCTGCTCGCCCTTGTTCTGCACCTGCAGGGAGGTTTCGAGACCCTCCTTGGTCAGGGTGACACTGTACACCAGACCAAACTGGTAAGGCCACGCCTTCTGGAACTCTTCGCTCAGCATAGGGTGCGACAGACCGAAGTCCAGCTTGACCGCATCATCGCCTTCCTTGTGGTCTTTTCCGAGGGACTCGGACGAGGACTTGCCCAGAAACTCCCAGTTCGAGTTCCGTGCGAAGCCGTGTTGCGGGAGGGAGGATGTAGCGTGATTCGAGGGGGGAGGACCGAAGACCTGCAGTGAGCCACAGCCGCGGCACTCGTTAGATACCGGTTGTTCTGTTTGGGGGATTGAAGGTCGCTGGGATAGAACCTACCGGGAAGACCACGGGGATACCGCCGCGGATGGGCTTGGAGCCATCCAGGTGAGCCTTTTCGCTGACGAACAATTGCTCCTTCCCATTGGCAAGCTTCCAGGATGTGACGGTCGCTCCATACAGGTGGACGGTGACTGACTCGCCGGTGGGCAGAGTGGCCTGGACCTTGTTGTCGTGGAAGTTGACGGTGGGCTGAGGGATGGAGACACCCACCCCGATGGCGGAGGGCTTGTTGGAACGATCCATCTTCGTAGAGGAAGAATATATCAGATATTAGTTGCTTAGGGGAGGGACTAGTCAGGAAGGGTGACTCGAATGCGTAGCAAGATAGCGTTTCTCTCACCTCTGTCTGTTATTCAATGCGGGGGGACTGTTGTTGGATGCGCCTGAACGGGCGGGGCAGCAGCGTCACCGTGGGGCCCTTCTTGGCTTAGGTCAGCATATCGCTATGCGGATAACTCGCTGCCTATTTTAGATTTATGCTGCATAGTGCAGGATATCCAGGACGCTGCATATTGTTACCAAAACAGACATGTTGCCTCCACTGGAACCAGCTTAGACGACCTTGAGACTCTTCACAAGAAAGAGCCTGTCACTACTGCTGTTTCAGTCACATGGGTCATTAAGCGGAATGACCGCCGCTATTGTTGGTCTATCCAGCATTCTCCAACCCATCCGCAGTCTCACAAGTACGGCAGACGTCCGATCTGGCAACATCTGCTCTTTGCGTTCAAGAGCTAACGAGAGTATGTTAGAAATGATCTAACACAGCTTAGGGCTTTTCGGGAACTCATCAGCTGAGAAAGTACAGTATGTTGATTGGAGTAATCGTCATCAGCAACAAAAATGGTTGATGATTGCACCATCAGAGCCCGCGCGGGGTCGGTGTTGACATTACACATTCTTCAAAAGCGCTGAAGATGCACTGCACTCTGATCACATTTCTCTAAATTTCTCGCTTTGATAAAGCAAGTATCTCATTGATCAACGTCCAGCCCAACATGACCATCACTGTGACAATCACCGCTCAACAACCTGATATTCAGTACGCCCCCGACGTGAACAAATGGCATACTCGCACGGAGCGTCGCTTACGCACCGAAACCCTTCCTACTGAGCTTCCTTCTGGCTTTCCGGCGAAGCTCGAGTCGGATCTGGTCTGGGAGGGCAAAGACATCGCAGAGCGGTATAACTGGACGTACGTCCTGACCGAGGCAGATCTCGAGGAGATTGACGCTGCAGTGCTGCATTTCAAGTGTACGTGCTCGCTTAACCCCTACCTTGCAGATATATCTCGTTGAATTCTGTTTGACATTGCTGCTCATAGCGTTGAACAAACCCCTTGGTTTCATTGATCCGGAGACCTTCCCTCTACCTGCGCTGCACTCAACGTTACGTGATATCTCGCAGGAGCTTCACAACGGACACGGATTCAAGGTTGTCAGCGGTGTGCCGGTCGACAAGTACTCGCGCGAAGAAAATATCATTATTTACGTGGGACTCTCTGCACATGTTGCCCCGATCCGCGGTCGCCAGGACTCGTCCTATGATGGCACACCGGCAGGCGTGATGCTCAATCATATTAAAGACTTGAGCACCCAGGAGCAGAGCAAAGGCCGCATTGGGGCGCCAGCATATACCACTGACAAACAAGTCTTTCACACCGATGCGGGGGATATCATCTCCCTGTTTGCGCTCAATACGGCCGCGGCGGGCGGCCAGAGCAAGCTGGCCAGCAGCTGGCGTGTGTACAATGAATTGGCGGAAACGCGACCTGACCTCATTCGTACGCTCGCGGAGAACTGGACTCTTGACGGGTACTAGATATCTTTTGTGCAATCAACTTCAAAACATGAGGATGCATTTGTGCTGACTTTACATGGTGACAGATTCGGCAATCCTCAGAACCCATATCATGAGCGCCCGTTACTCTTTCATCAGCCAGCTACTGGCAAGCAGCCTGAGCGCGTCCTGATTCAATATGCACGACGCAACTTCACTGGATTTCAGGACCTGCCCAGGTCCAAGAATATTCCTCCGATCACTGAGGCACATGCGGAGGCCCTCGATTCGTTGCACTTTTTGGCCGAGAAGTACGCAGTCGGGCTTGACTTCCGCAAGGGTGACATTCAGTACATCAATAACCTGAGCATCTTCCATGCTAGAGATGGGTTTCAGGACACCCCGGAGCAGCAGTGAGTATTTGCCTTCTATGGTCTAGGCTTGTTTTAGCAATCGGCTGATAAATTATCAAGGCGCCATTTCGTCCGCCTCTGGCAGCGCGACCCCGAGTATGCATGGGAAACCCCCGGGCCTTTGGTTAGAACTTGGAAGCAGCTATATGACGGAGTCACACCTGAGGCTCAAGTCTTCCCCCTGGAGCCTTATATCAGGGGCTCAGCGGCTGGGGGCAGAAAGGAGTAGGCATGTGTGCTGGTGCTGGATAATGTTGTTGCGGGCTGGTAATTGCGTTATCTCCCGGGCCTTGGCTCAGACATATATAAAGAACGATACGCAGCACTTTACAATATGTGCAATGTTGATTGTGGTGATATGCAGTCCAGCATGGTAGAAAGATTCTCTGATTGTAAAGCATCCAAGGCAGAGCATGGGCAAGCTGTTGAGCATATTCTTGAGTTTTGGCTATAATCTAGCAAATATAGATTCTAGGCAATGATTCAACCCTTTGAGGTCTTTTCTTTGGATTATCTTCGTAAACTTCCGGCGTCTGTAGGAGTGCCGCACTGTCTATGTCACTGGTGGTAATGCCCACGCGGAAATAAGGTCTCGTCTTTCCCATGGTACGGACAAAAATTGCTAGCCCTACAACCCATTCCAGGCTCCACCCGCCATGGTTTTTTCTTAAGGGATACGATTTTTCTTTTCTTCTTCTGCGAAGAAACTTTTTATGAGAAAGAAATTTGTTCTTGTCACAAATCCCAATGTCCTTGAACCTCGCCTACAGTCGCAGGTTTTACTTTCGACGGCCCTATGCGGCATTAGCAGCGCTCGACCGAATTTGCGATAAATCCAGCACATCGCAACTCAAATGCAAGAAGCACCACCATAAATCGAAGATCACATGGAATTGAGGGCATCCTAGGATCAATGGCGGTTTAGGGAAGATTTCTGTCAAATTAGGTTCGCGATAGATGGTTCCCTGGTGGCAAATTGAGGCGAAAACTCGGTTTCAGGTGTCTGGATATGACCCGTTGAAACAGTGAGCCAATAACTACAACGGCCCAGATGGTCCAGTGGTTCTCAGCGCCAATCTTCTAGTGGTTAGGATCCAACCTTCCCATTCTCATAGGATTAGGTTGGGACGCGAGTTCGAGTCTCGCTTGGCGCAATTCTTTTTTGTATTTTTCCGGCTCTGACCCAGGTCCGCTGGTAACACCCTCGTGGTTTGGGTGCTCTTTTTTAACCTGGTTCTTTATTTTTTTTTTTTTTTGTGTCATGTCTATTTAGGCAGTGTAGTTGATTCAGATAAATGTATATATGCGTGCACTGGAACACGTGCTGCTCAATAGGTTTTGCCCTCCCGTGGTTGACCTTTGTCTATATATTCTAGTAGCGCCGGGATTATTTACACCAGGCATCCCTAGTCACCATCACAAGGTGGGGATGGCAGATCACGATAATGGCACAGCACCCCTAAAATATGCATTGTCACACCTACTTGAAATATACCTTAAATATACAGCATGACCCTACTTCATTAGCCACCCTGGTTGCCTTCTCACCTCCGATCGCACAACCGGCAATCCCTCGCTTGAACCTTGAACATCCCTTCAACCATTCAAAGCACGTCCATAAGAATGACCGGCCGAGGAAGCGAACAATTCGATCGTACTTCATGTGCAAGTCCATCATGAATCTAGAGCACAAGTGCAATGTTTTGTGCCTGGCACTGAATCGCAAGTCAGGTCGAGAGTCGAGTCCACCCCCAGTTGTTCATCCCCTTGCGTCCTGTCGCCAACTCAGGCAAGGAATTCCGGACTCTCCGATGCGGCATGCAATCTCATCATCTCCCTCGTTCTGGGCGGTGCGTGTGGCGTCGAGGCCGGCTCGGAGTCCCTGCTTCACGTGCCGATAAAATGGCATTGCTGCGACAGGGCGTGCAAGGGCTGCTCCTGGTGGCCGATGCATTGCTATCTATATATGTCCCCCCAGCCGCACACCACTCTGCCCCCCTGGTGTGACATGCGTCGTGCAATCACGGCGAGGATTCCAGGAGCACTGGGGTTTACACAGACTTTGAGAAGACGACGACATGGGCGACTTCTCACCTCCCCCATACCAGCTCCTCTCCGAGGCGATTATATTCTGGAGCGTCGCAATCGTGCTATACATTGGAAGGATGTAAGTACCAAGAACCCTCACCACGCGGACAGGGTATGTTTCTTTCATAGAGCCCTTACTAACCTACCAAGAGTTTCCCGTGCCATCGCAACCGGTTCGATCAAGCGCCTGTATTGTATGACGCAGCCGGGATTGTCGTGAATTCGTGAGCACTAACGCACCTGATACAGTTGAGGACTATGTGATGAGCGTCACATTTGTAAGTCAAGGCCCACACAGAGAGGAGCACCTGACTGACCAACTGGGCGAGGCAGTTGATCTATACAACATTGCTGGTTTTGATTCAAGTCTCCGCCCGCTATGCGTCTAATCTCGTCGATCCGGCACAATACGATGAGATTATGTCCAACCCACAAGAAGTGCGTGATCGTATCTTTGGGAGCAAGATCGTCATTGGCCTCGAGCAATGCATGTTATTCTCCACCTGGGGGGTCAAGGGTTGCATGTTGACCATGTTCTGGCGGCTCACCCAGAATTTCCGGCTATTGCGGATGTATGTCAATCTGATAGCCGCCTTCATCGCCGTCGGCTTCCTCGTTACCATGGTCACGTACTATGCCGTCTATTGCCGGCCATTCTCACAGTACTGGGCCATGCCGGTGCAGGACATGCAATGCGCGACCTACCAGTACTACTCCATCACTCAGGCAGTCTTCAACATCTCCTCTGATGCTGCCATGCTCGCGCTGCCATTTCCCCTGCTGCGGAAGGCCCAGATGAGGAGGGGAAAGAAAATCATGCTGGCGGGCGTCATGAGTTTGGGTGTCTTCACCATCGCCGCTGCGATTCTCAACAAAGTCTTCAATTTCGCCTCTCCCTTGACGACGACTTATCAAATTTGGTATATACGGGAGGCGAGCACTGCGATCTATGTCGCGAATATGGTTTGTCTGTCGCCCCTGATTCGGAGGGTGTTCAGCTCGAAAATGTATCAGAAGACAAATAGGCCGCATGGTCAGCATGCTCGCTGGCATGGCACAAATCCTTCCAGCGCATCGCGTTCCGCGCAAAGCAGGGGAAAACCGAGATACTGGCACCCGTTCCATTTCTCCCATACATACGAATGGAAACTCGACCAGTCCACCATGAGTGTTAAAGGAAAGCCCCACGAGGATGATCCTGTTGACCAACGAACAAGCGAGGAGGCTATCATCAGAACGATCGCCGGATATCCGGAAAGGACTCTAGGTCCGCATAGAGCCAGTTCCTATCGCTCTCGTGAGGACGAAAGTCAATACACGTTCGAGGAGGGAATAGAGCTGAAGCAAATTCATATGGTAGCGTGAAATGCTAACGAGTTATTTACATCGCCTACCAGCCTCGAACTCACTCTGACGCAACAGAAGTGAGACGCATGAAGACATCAAATCTCGAAAATCCGTATGTAACCCCCCCGGTACCAGAACACCACGAAAGAAGCTCCGCGAATCAGGTCTATGTGCTATGCGAAAGCAAATTGCCACTCCCCCTGAAGTGTCCATGGTCAGCTACCTTTCTTCGGCTCACAACAATCAGCGGGGAATCACGGTCTTCACTTACAGATAGAAGGTTGCGCGATCAGAGAGTGGTACCTCAGAGACGCGGAAGGATGTCCGTACGGATCAAAACTGCCTGCGGAACAGCTGGGCCAGACCCGGCACGAAGCCAACCGGTGCGTGAAGCCCTTGCGTTACAGTAGTCTGTCTTGCACAGGGGGCAGCATGCGTGGCGGCGGGTTAGCCAGGGATCTAGGCAGGACACGTGGAAAATATGACCACACGTCAGAGGACGAATGAAGTCTGGCCCGCGAAACTCATCCATGCAAATGACGCACTCTCTGCTGGAATCTGCCATGTCGAAGCCTTCTCCTGTACCCGGGGCAGCCTGCATGATGTCAAAAGCAGTAGGGGCTGTCCCATCGTAACCAGGAACCTGACGAGGCGTATCAGTGGGGATTTCCTCGGAGCGTGGAGCGTCGTTGACCGGGGCGATCTCAATAGCATCGATAGAGGTAGTGTCAGCCCCGACGGAAGAGGTAGTATCAGCAGCGACGGAAGAAACCCTCGCCTCGGTGGCATCCTTGGCGGGCATGCACCTGGTCCTAGAACTGAGCCAGTCGCTATATTTCATCTGGGGGAAGCGTCTCTCCACGTCACGGCTGGAGATCACGGCACGACTGGACCCCATGGGAGCAGTCTCGGCATCGTTGCTGTGCAGGTTACGGGTACGCTCGCGGCGTCGGACCTCCACACAGATCCTTTTTGTTTCGATTCATCGAGTCAGAATCCGGACACCCACTGAAGAAGAAACGAATGACCGAGGGGAATACGACCCACATACCAAGCAACAAAAACGAAGAAGGCAATGCAGACGGGGGCCAAGTAGCCGAGAATGGCGGCCGACGAGACGTCAACCATGGCTGATGCTGGGTCACCTTGCATCGGCTTTCTGTGAAGATCAAGCTAACCAGGGTGCGCCTAGTTAGAAAACCGACAGGACAGGATATGATCACAGAATCAAACACGAAAGGGCCATGTGCATACCTTGTGACTTGTGTGAAGCGGTGAGGATGGTTGTTTTCTCCGGGAAAGATCAAGGAGTGTAGATAGATGCTATCAGAGGGCCTGCTTGTTGTATATGCAACTCACGAGACCTCTCAAAGCAGCAGATCCAATGTGATGATCACGAGAGAAAAGGTGGAAGCAGATAGCAGAAAGCAGACAGGCAGGAGAGCGTGTTAATTCTGGCACCCCTCACGCACGACGCAGCGCAGCGCAAATCAGATGGCAAGCCCCTATGGTCGAGCGTACATACCGACACGGCAGTTTGGGTGCAAGATGAGTGAGTGAAAGCGCAATCTCTGGCAACCCCTTTCCCCTTCCTCATGGACACCGGACATCGGGGATTACTGTGCTCTTTGTCCGTGCAGAGAAGCAGATAAAGAAGAGAAAGAAAGCCGTGTTCAAGAGAAAGCATCCAGCATCCGGCATGATTTCCCTTTTCCCATCCCAATGACGAAACTCTGACTGGCCGGAGGGGAGACTACCTACCACTTAAATCCCCCCAAATCCGCCCACCGCTCGCTCGCTCAGCCTCGAGGGGAAGGCGGGAGGAAACATGTTGTTCTTTATGCAATTTATCTTCCTCGGAGAGAATCTTACGTGCTTCTATGGAAAGTCCATCAATCTAGTGTAGGGGATGGCTTGCTATGTGCAGATCGATAGATCGGTGGGAGCCGTTGGCAGTGCATGCATGCCTTCAGTAGCGGGAAGTTTAGGAAGTATAAAGTCGAGTAAAGTTAAGCGAGATAAAATTGGTATGATTTCTTCTCTCCCGCCGATCCTATGTATTATTGGCAAAGCAAGTAGGTCGATTTCATTCAGTGGCTACTCTGCGATGAAAACAGAATCATCTGTCCTCGTGGTAAGTTCAAGCCCTACTCCGCGCGCGCAACTGCGACCTTGAAGAGACGGGGTAGATAGAGACATGTTTCTAATCTACGGAGTAGATAGCCTGCATTAACTATTTTTTTGTTCACTCAAACCTGGATCTTCCCTATTTCAAAAATCGGCCACAGACTTCTTTGTGGCTGTGACAATGAAAATTCAGGCATGAGGTGCATGGCATGACGGTGAAAAATGCAGAGCCTCTGCACTGGGGGAGGGAGGCTGTCTCGTCTAGGCAATAAGCCAGAGTACCGGTGTAGGTTGATGCAGCCAAGGCGGTTTGTGCTTCTCTATGGCAGGAGGGTCCACTACTCCACTACAGCAATCGTATATGTGATGTGTATGCATGTATGGAGGCCAAGAGTTTGACTTGGTCTAGAAATCATGGATCATGGATGGAGAATGGTTGGACCCGATCCGTACAGTGTGTCGAATGCGTAGTTAGGTATGCTTCTGCTGATTCCTAAAATGCTCCTGTCTTTGCACTGCCTGGATTTATCTCCACTCTCGGTGTTAACTCACACTCTCCACCTAAAGAAGAGAGGTTTGCGCTTCATCGCCTTGTGCATAGTGCATTGAAGTGGAGAATATCCCAGTTTCGAAGACAATCATGTACGTATGTCTATGAGCACCAAGAGATGCCTGGGCAGCTGGACTTGATGACAAAATGTTGACGTATATTGCATCAATTACGCAAGATTACCATAACAAGCCCGGGTGGTCTAGTGGTATGATTCTCGCTTAGGGATTCCAAACCCAAGCATATCTGCGAGAGGTCCCGCGTTCGATCCGCGGCTCGGGCCGTTATCCTTTTTTCATCGCCATTTTTTGTTCTCTTTTGCTCTTCACCTTCATCCGCTCTCCTCCGACTATATTTTGCAAAACAGCACCGTTTTCTTCAGCCACATTCAATGCAACGAGAAGGCTCTAGGTAGATTACCCCACCGAGTGTAAATCACCTGCCATAACCCTAGAATATACCTAAAAATGTGGAACCTTCTTCGTTTCTCAGTCCCCGGACCATAGTACAAAAGCTCTTCCTAATCGCAGTCTTCAAATACACAAAGGCAGCGAAAACAATATACTACTAGGGTGGTGACTCGGAAGAAAACCGGAAGCAAAAACAACAAATCTTGATCTTTTCCCATCCTCCGCCAAAGATACAAAAGCAACCCCCCCCTGGCGCATCGAAAGATAAGGGTGTATAATATAGGACCTAAGATAAGCAGATACCCCGCGGACATGTTTGTAAAAAAAAAAAAAAAAGAAAAAAAAACGCCTTCGCTATGCAAAAAAAAAGAAGAAAAGTTCAACCTTCCTAACCCGTATTCCTCCGCATTGCCTCATGTGTCTCCACCCGAATATCGAACAACAGGTCGTCAATCTCCTTGAGAGATTGCCTGTCCAGCTTGGCCAATTTGACGTCGTCAAGGACCCTGCGGAGGGAGTTTGCGATTTCCGCCTCGGACTTGACCAGGACAGGTTCGGCTGGGGCCTCGGTTTCTGCTTGAGTAGGGGCAGCGCGGGATGAGGCGCGGGTTTTCTTCTTTTTCTTCTCCGAGTGCTTCTCCCTGCTGAAAGATGGTGTCTTCTGCGACTGGGGAGCGGTTTCTGCGGTCGGGTGCGCATCGGTCATCTGGATGTCGTTGTCTGCCGAGGGCTGCAGATTCTCGACAGGCACGGGTCGGGTCGTCGAAGCGACTTCCTCCTGAGCTTCGAACGCAGGTTGTACCGACTCCTCAGACTTGTGTGTTTCCGGGTCTACCTCGGGAACCGCCGTAGCATCTAGTGCATTCTGAACATCGTCCAGATGATCGGACGCCTTCTCACGCGCTGGCTGCTTTGGCTGGTCTTCTGCCGTAGTCTCCTGGGAATCACTCTCCTCATGTATAGTTTCCGTGTTTATATCATTGTCCTGCTTGCGTGGACGAGAAGGCCGAGGTGATTTCTTCGACTTCTTTTGAAGCACAGGGCTCTCCTCGGATATAGGCGGCGCAGCTTGACCACTTAGGCGAGAAGATCTTCTCTTCTGAGACTTGTCTTGACTCTCTGAAGGCTTGTCCTTCGAGCTGACAGGTTCTGATGCTTGACTGTTAGCGACCGATCTAGTCGTGCTGGAGGCCTCAGCCCTGGTGTCATGTTTCCGTCGTTTCGGTGCAGACTCGGCAGGCGACGACTCAAGGTCGTGAGTGTTTAGCAAGATTTCGTTCCAGCGAGTGTTGTCGGCTTCGTCTTCCTCAGCCGCAGCGGGCGTCTTTGTGAGTCGAGACGAGCGCCGTCTTTCCTTCCTCTGGGGTGTCTGCTCTTCCATCTCACGTTTTCTCTTCCTGGATAGTTGAGGCTCATGCGAAGCTTCCATCGACTCTTCACCGCCCGCAACATCATCTTTATCTACGGCAAGCTCCAGATCTTGCTCCAATTGGGATGACACCTGGTCTTCCATATCAACATCATCGTTGCACAAGCCGGGGTTACCGCTGGGTCGTTCCGCCTGGGACTCGACGATTTCGACATTCTGAGGCAAGTCCTTCTCCACTTCGGGCCCAGTCTTCGAACCGACGGCGTTGGCCGAGGCGGAGGCCCTTGTGGAGTGTGTATGACGTGTCTCCTTACTGGATTCTGTGGCAGCTCCTGTATGTTGCTTCTCGGTTGTGGATTGCAGAGGAGAATCAGAGGTCTTCCCAGTAGAAGAGCGGAGGCGTTTAGTCATAGGCTGGTCTGCGACGTCGTTTGGATTGTCCTGAGTGACGTGTTCAGTCTGATTGAGCTCAGAATTTGACTTCTTCTTGAGCTTGGCAGAGCGTCTGGCCTTCTTCTTTGCCTTCTTGCTCTTACCCGGTGTGGTCGTTGGTGTCTCAAGATCAACGGGTGTCTCGTTACTAGGATGGGGACCAGGAGTGAGCGAGTGATGATCTGCGGGAAGTGAAGTGAGTTCTGGAGGTGATGATCGGGGCTCGTTGTCCAACAAAGAGGCTTCTGGGGCAGATGTTGGGGGTGGTGGCACATGTGAGTCGCTCAACTGCGCCCTCCCTCTTGAAATAGGAGTCGGTGACGAGCCAAGGTAGTTATATTCGTTCTCTGCCGACACAGGCGGCAAAGGGGGTGTTTGCGGGGTCCCTGCATATGTGTCCGAGTGATGCAGGTGACGCAAGTGCGGCGGTGTCATGAAGTGGATATCTCTAGGTGTATTGCTCGGCGGGGAAGAAGACCTGAGGCTTTCAATCATCGAGAACAACTCGCTGCGCTTGTTACCGTCCTCTGGGCCTGATACGAAAGGGTCTGGATGAGAAGCAGCAACATGTTGCTCGGCACGCTGACTGTCAGCTTCGAAAGCTCGTTCCCGCTCAAGTTCTTTTGTGCGCTCTCGTGTGACTGCACGGTCTGAGCCCCTAGTCACAGGCGACGAGTTCAAGCCCGAGTCGACCGGATTGTCTAGAATGAAAGAGATCCGTGACTTTACGGACATGTCCCCAGAGCCGTTTTTGGTTTCCTGTTCGTCGAAAGTACTCATCCGAGCTCCAGGCTTCGAAGGGTTAGCATGAGCTGGCTGTCGCTCGTTATGACATGACATACCTTCGATTCTTCCAAAGGTGTGATGGCCTGCTGATGTTTAATGAGAGCTTCCAAGCTCTCCAGCGCATGCGTTATTCTTTCAGGGCGGGACAAAAATCTCTGTGAACCGATGGTAGAATTCCAGAAGTCATAGAACCTCCTTCTTACTGATATGTGTGAAGAATCTAGACCCGCGTGAATGATATCTTCGAACTTTTGCAGGAACGAGGCATTATGGGGGGAAGATGCTTGTAGGATATTCAGAACAGCCGAAGAGAGTGCGCGACACTATACAAGGGTTAGAGTATGTCCAAGCCCCTTGCTTCTGACACTTACTGCAGTGAGAATCCTGCTCTCCACACCACTCTCCACGCTCATTCGCTTGTCCTCATCTTTCAGATAAATAGCCAGGGGTAGCTGAAGACTTTCCAGCATGATAGACCGGACAGTTGAAGTACCTGAGCCCAAGAGTGATGTTAAGGATTCAATGAAGTCCGCCATACCGCTCGTCTCTGAGGGGTCGAAGTGTTCATAAGAATCCAACAGGGTACGCCCAACCAGGTCAACCAGTTTGTGGAACGGCAAGTGGCTCTCATTGTTGTCTCTCTCAAATTGTTGGTAATAGGTAATGGAAAGCAAGTGCTTGAGAATAGATGCCAACGGCAAGTAAGACCTCCGGGCACCACCCTTCATGATTGACTCGGCAAGAGGCTCAATGATCATGAGTGTGATTGCTTGGTCACTTCTCTCGGTTCTCACCACACGTATCAGGGAGTCAAGCAGTTCATTCCATACCTGAAAGTTGCGATAGTAATTCAACCCCGTTGAAAGAACTTTCACAGCATTTTCATAGTCTCGGGTAACGGATCCATCGCGTTCTCGCGCAGTCTCCATTGGAAGTGAGCGCAAAGAATCAGCAGCTGACTGTGCTGTACACTCCCAGACGGTCTGTGCCAAGAAGGGACCCAAGGGGAAGTCGGAGTCACTGTACTCATCGTAGAGACTGGCACATTGTTGTAGTAATTCTAAGCGCGAGCTTCGAGAAATTTTATCACTGCACGTGGCCTCAAGTACACTCTTGACCAAGTGAGAATACGCCGTGCTTGGCACCGTTATCACAGACATTTCACTGATCATTCGGAGGTAATGCAAGGTCGGGGTGCTTAGATTGGCGGTTGCTCTCGAATGGCGATGGGTTGGCGTGGTAGCAGCTTGGAACGAGTAGTCGGAGGTCCGCAGAACAAGCTTCTCTGTAAACCGAGCACTTCCTAGGGCGTGGATCATCGTAGTGGACAAGAACCCAAATCGCTCGAAGAAAGTGTCCATGGAGCCATCCTCTTGTTTTGCGCTGAGCGCGTCTGGCCCGGTAGTCCAGACCCGCCTAAGAAAAACCAGTACGTGAGCCACGGTCTGCATCGACTCAGGAGTTGGGGTAATCTCTTTGTTTAAGGTGAACGCCAAGGCTCTAGATAAATTCAGCCATGCAGCGCCAACATGCGACTGTTCAAGGCTATCTGTCCAGATTGTTGCTTTGAAGATACTCTCAAGAACATCAAGCACTGATGAAATTCTGGATCTTAGCCACCTGCTATCAATAGAAGGCAACTCCTCCGGATCCAGCTTGTTGCTCTCATTGACTTTGTTTTCTACCCAGGGCCTTGGGTGCGAGCTCCAGAACATGCTGGACAGCACGTGAGCGACTCGATCATGCATGCCGGGCACTGTTGCGAATACCGTTGATAAGGGCGAGGCAATGTACTCTTTCCAAACAACATCCAGGTGCTCAAAAGTTGCAGACGGGCGGAAGGCATAGTACAACAGATTGTAATAACTGCACAATGCCAGCTGGCTAGGTTGCTTGTCGTGCTTCTTGCGGTCGAATTGGGACATGATTGGTTTGCTCAGCATCTTGAGTATAGAAGGGCTTGTTGTATCGCTCGGGCCAACGACCAGAACAAATCGATTCCAACCCACGATAGCCTGAGCTTTGATTGAAGAGTCACTGCAATTGAAGCACCTCTGCAAAACCAGCACCCATTCTTTGAAATGTTCCCACTGGTCAACGTTGAACTTTTTACTTCTCAGAAGCAGTACGATCACGCCCCAGACCTGCGGTACATGTATACCTGATTCGGGATTGTTCATCATCCGTGACATTCTCTCGCATACTTCAGTCACCATCTTTCTGCCCTTGTCTATGAACCTTCCAAACACATCCCGAACGGCCTTTGATAGCGTTGGATTGGGCCCACACGTGATAGAGGCCTGGAAGCCGACAGAAATAGCTTTGAGGCGAGTATCCTTCATATGATGAAGTAGTCCCGAGATTAAATGCTCCATCCACAACGCTGCGTGAGAGACGAATGTCGATTTCGATTGACTGAGAACACGAGAGTAGATGCTCAACCGCTGAGACACAATTGCATTTCCGTTGACACGGCTAGTCAGACTGTTCAAGACAGTGAGAAGGCGTATCACCCTGGCATTGGTCATGATTTTTGTATGAAAGTTTTGTGTAGCCAAGACAGATAAGTAATGTGTGATCACGGACTTAGGCACTTTGGCATCCTGCAGGCAATCGATCGAGTGATCGATAAGGAATGCCTTGAACTCGTCCGACAGTCGCGCAGATATCTCATTGTGCCAAACAAGAGCAACAGCCAGTTTCAGCGCCTGGATGACAAGATTGGTGTCCAAAGGTCCTCCAGTCGTCAGGTCTCTGCTGATGTCTCGTTGTATAAAATGTGTAATTGTGCCCAACTTCGCGATAACTTCCTGCTCTCCAGGAAGCCCTTCATATGCCCTTAGCGCCCCGAAGAATTGCATGTATGCATCGAGTCTGGAGCTGACTGTGTCGCCAGCTAATTGCTGGAGAATGGATTCAAGAAGCATGGCGAACGTGTCGGGAATGGGAGGGGCGGAGGAAGGAGAATCGGCTAGAGCGTGCGAGCTCGTCGTCTTGAGGATCGACTTTGCGGGTTTGAGTTCGTTCGAAGGGGGAAGAACTTTCAGCTCAGGTCGCGATTTGGCGGTGGTATTCGTGAAAGTCGGAGGTTTGATATATTTAGTCCATGGCGAGAAGTTCACGCGCTTGGATTGACGGGTCGAGGGGGCCCCGGTCGAACCATTGACAGAGAAAGGAGAGTCACGAGGCGTATGCACAATGGCCGGGGAGTCTTCCCTTCGATCTTTCTCAGACAGCATAAAAGATGATGTCCTTGGTGGAGTCGGCGGACGAGCAGAGACAGGACCGAGAATCTCCACCATATTTTTGACGATCGAATGGTTAAGAAATAGGAATCAGAAGCGGAGAGAGAAAATAGGACATCGCGATATGGCCTGGCGATGATCACGAGTGGTCCATGCTCTAGTTCAAGCCTGAGAGAAACAACCTGGAGCGAGATTTGAAGCCCAGATGAAGCAGGGCTGTCGAGCGTTTGATCCTCGGGGAACCGCGCCAAGCCACGCAGCTCAAAAGGGACGCGCCTGTGGCTGAGGCACGCGTAAAGTGGCAGCGCCGCGTTTGATGCCTGAGGAGACAAGGCACCAGTATCCGGGCGGGAAGTTGAAACAAATCGAACAAACAAATGAACCATTTAAGTTAATGATGATAGAACCAGTCTAGATATTTGGGCTCGAAACATGGGTCTGGACTCGTGTCTTTGATAGGAAACATTCTCGAAGAACTGAGAATATCCTCCTAGACAGGACGCAGAAAGATCTTCCTATATCAGTACATACTTTCTTCCGTCGATACTTGTGGAGATACACATACATTTGTGAGCCTGAGTGGGGTTTTCCTGCTTTATTGCACCTCTCCGATCCTCTATTCACCGATCCATCATCGGCTTAAACTTCTGGCAAGAACCATCCCCGCGGATCCAAGGCCCGAAACCTCTACATCACTTGGTCCAGGGCCTTTGAACCTTGCGCTACAGCGTGACTTATCTCACCAAAGGAGTGTTAATACTTTGACCTTTCGGATTACTGGAACACTGAGGTTCGTGCGGTCGCAAAGGTCACTAGCTCTAATCAAGCGGGGCCCAAGTTTGGGTGGACTACCAGGGGGTGTCCTATTCATACAAAGCCACACGGGACACAGGAATCCGGTTGCTCCTCTGCCGAATTCAAGTTTTGAACAACATAAAAGATGGAGTTTCGCACGCTCCAAGGTGCAGGTATGTAGAAACCACCTTCATATCGATGTAGACTAACAGATTATGCTTAGCTAAACTGCAACGGGTCTCCCAGTTGGTGGAGTTGCTAAAACAAGACCAGCTGAAGAAGTCGCTCACATCACAGCGTAAGTACAAAGAAAAGCATACTTATGAGCAAGCTTCTTACAACATGGAATGCACTTTATAGAACGCGTACAAACCCTGTTAGAGCTGAGGCAGCATGGCACCAATCCTGATAACGCAGGCCCGATCTATTCTAAAGAGGTACTAAGAACCAACTACTCATAGCTTGCTTCGACTGCTGACTATTCTATAGGGAATAGAACTGTTAGCCAAGTACGGTGTTACGGGAGAAACGACTGATGTGCGGCGAGCTGCCCTACGATGCGTTGCAAATGCTCTCCTCCTTAACCCTGCTATGCGTCAGCTGTTTGTTGATACAGGCTATGGAGGTAAATTGGCTGAGTTACTCAAAGTATGTAAATCAATTACACCATCTTACACGTATTTCTATTTGCTGACACCAGGCTAGTGTGACTCTTCAGACGACGAAATGGTTATCAGTCGCATACTCTTTCTCTCCACATATGATACCACCATGGACTTCGAAATACTGATTAAGAATCATCTCTTGAGTGAAAATGTCAACTATGTAAGTGAGCCCCCTCCACCATCACACCCCCCTCTTTGGCCCCTAGAGGAGTAGAACCAAACTGACTGATCAATCTATGTAGCAAATTACTCGACACGCCAAGCAATTTCCGAAGTCGGGAAAGAAGCCCTTGTCGCAGATGGACGAACTGGCGCTCATCGACACACTGAAATTGATTTTTAATGTCTCCAAGATCTATCCGGAGCTTGCGGGGAGTTTTTCGCCTTCGATCCCGCACCTCTTCAAGATCATCAGCCGGATGGATATTCCTGAAAAGCCTCTAGACGGTTTGCTCGGATATCTTCTCAACTGCCTGTCAACCCTTGACATTGAGAACAAGAAAGGCAAAGCATGGGAGAGCAGTCCGCTCTTTCCGACGTTTAATCAGAACTGCAATGTCGACAAGCTGATCAATATTCTGGACCAGGCTGTGTCTGCATATAAGGCAGATGAGTTGGAAACCAAAGCGATCCCACTCTTCCACACTCTTGTGACTATTCATGAGCTGGCACCTGATGGCGTCCGCAAGTACATGCAATGGCTTTTGTTGCCCGAAGAGAATGATAGAAGTCGTCCCATTGGACAGTCCGACACGCTTTCCTCCAAGCTTCTGAATCTCTCAACCACTCCCTATCCGAACGTAAAGACAGCTATCTCCGAGCTCATGTTCGTTCTCTCTGGAAAGGACGCGGAGAACTTGACCAGAAACATTGGCTATGGATTTGCAGCAGGATTATTGGCTTCCCGTGGCATGGAGATACCGCAGACAGCGGGCGAGGCATTCGCTACGAACCCGCAGGGATTCGATCCGGAGGTCAACCCCATAACTGGCCAGAAATGGGCTGCGGAGAAGAAGGATGAATGGCCGCCTATGACAAAGGAAGAGAAGGAGCGTGAGGCAGAGCGATTGTTTGTGCTCTTTGAGAGGTTTGTGTTCCTCCACCGATGATATAGATGATTGCTGACAGCTTCATACAGGGCCAAGGCGAATGGAATACTCAACGTGGAGAACCCTGTCACGCGTGCCCTTCACGAAGGTAGATTTGAAGAACTGCCTGATTCGGACGACAGCGACTGAGCATTTGCTTTCTGACCCCTTTGTTACTGCTGTATCATACCCCGTCAATTGAACTGGGACCCGGAGTTGTACAGGTTTCCTTCCCATCTAAGATGTCTGATCTTGCCGTCTAGCCCTCAGCATAGCACTACAGTTACAGTTCCCACTTGTACATTAATTCGGGTAGCTCTGTCCCTCATTGCCTTGATCTGTCATCCGCAGAATCGAATGGAAAGCAAGCAGGCATGATTTGGCCACCCATTAATAAGCGACAGAATCCCAGAGTAGAAGCTCCGAGCATCAGCTCGAATATGCTTGAAGCTTCCGGTAGAGTCTGGTATTGAGACCTGTGGACCTGTAGTATGAGCAGTTTGTATTTGCATATCAGTTCTCAGGCCTTAGGAAGCAATGTTGAAATGGTGCGAATGACGTACGGATCTGGTGCGGGGCGGGGTTTTAGGCGGGCGGCGCAAAAATCTCCGCCCGCGGCAGAAAAAGAGTAGTCTGTCGCGCGGGGCACTTCGAATTCGATTTCCCAATCCACCCAACAACAACCAACCACCAGAGTTTGTTATCGGTCACCAAAGAGACCTCCATTGTATACCCACCACATTGAAACATTCTTCAAAGCATATTCCCACACACACAATCGTCAAAATGTCGAAGCCTTTCGATCCCGAGACCGCGGAGAACTTGGACGATGTAAGTTCGTGCTTTGCGCCAGGAAGAAAACTCCCCTGGTGATCTCCATCTTTCGAAACCAAGATCAACAGCTAATCTTCTCGCGCTGTAGATGGAGAAGCAGTTTGCCGTCAAGGGTCCGTTTTCCTCTCACCTCCCCGTTCTAGGTAGAATCGTTCATACTCACCCGCCTTTACAGCCGTGGAGCACTTGATGACATACTGGGCGATCCTCGAGAAGGTCCGCGGCTCGCAACTTCGTCTGACCAAGATGGACGATGAGATCTACGAGTCCTTCATGAAGGAGTTCCCGGACTTCGACCCCGCCGAGACGCTGAACGAGGACACGATGAAGAGCAAGGAGGGCAAGGAGAAGTGGCGCAACTGGATGAACCAGTATGAGAAGACCGTCACCGACTTCAACTTCGGAACTATGCTCCGCTCCAACCCCAAATTCGAGTACGACCAGGAGACGACTATCTTCGGTGGGTTTTCTTTTTTTGATTACAGGAAGTTTGTTTGCACTGGGGGGATATGTGGGACTAACTTCGCAAAACAGCTATGCGCATGCAGTTTTACGCGATCGAGATCGCCAGGTGAGCATCATCGCGCCCCGAATAAGAAAAAAAAACACAAGTGGAACTAATCAATTATCGATTCGTTAGAAACCGCGCTGGACTCAACGACTGGATCTACGAGAAGGCCCAGAAGGCGAGCTCCTAGATGTGTGCCACGGAGTACTGGAAAAACCTTTCCTTGGCCCTTCTAGAATAGTCGCACGAATGACTGGATCCGTTCCCCAGCTCCCAATCCTGCATTCGCTGTCGCTTTATGGGATAGTGCAACGACTCGAGTCCATAGTCATCCCCCTTCACGGCCCGTGCATGGTCCAATGGATCGTTCGGTAGCGGCCGTAAATGTTGCTTCTAATGACCTTGGCAGAGAGTCTGGGTTCCCTGCGAGAATGGAACCGGGGTGGTCTCAATTTCTTCTCTTCATTCTCAAAAAGCGAAACATTATATGTATATACAGTGGGTGGATCTTGTTCATTGGAAATGAAGTAATGAATAGACATTTTCTTCTTTTGGGGGGTGGTTGGCCCTCAGGGCGAGCGGAGAAACAACAATGCCAACCGTGGATCATTATCTTTTCCTTCCTCAATATAACCGCTTTGGGACAAGGAGCGGGATAATGGGTTATCTCAGCCTGCCATGAATGACTCCCCTTTGTCACGCCTCACAAACAGGATGGAGCATAGGCGAGTGTTAGACTTTTTGGGTTCCTCATCTCTCAATATGTATAGATCGTCTGCGAAGACCGACCTTTCTGCATTCTTAGTCAAACCATGTATCTCCCAGAGTTTATCAAGACGCCTCGTCGATAGATAAAAGAAAGGAATACAACAGTCAATCAAGGACGGCTCGCAAGGCCGAATCAAACGATGGCCGCGTCTACTCTCCGACTTCCCTCGGGCAGAAATGCGGGCTGGTTGTCTTTGTTCAGCTTCACAACTGGGAAGCATGCGCCGACTCTCATCGGAGGAGTCGTGCTCGCTCTCGTCGCCAGTCTGCCCACACCGGCCTTCTCTATATTGCTGGGCCAGATCTTCAACGAATTTACCTTGTTCGGAGGCCAGGAGATCACTAATCACGACCTGATTCGGACGACGACGAAGTATTGCGTCCGACTGGCGGTCCTGGGAGCAATCAGTTGGATCTGTAACGGATGCTACTATGTCCTGTTTGTTATCTTCGGAGAGCTGCAAGTGGCGAACGCTCGCACCGAGCTTTTCGACGGCCTCTTGAAGAGGGATCAAGAATGGTTTGAGACACAG